TGGTCAGACACCTCGAGAGTCTGATGATTTAGAAAACTGAAAGTGCCTCCAACAGGTCACTGTTAATGACTCCCTGTATGGCGTTCCCCATATATCATGATTCTGTCTATTTCCGTCTTTAGGGCATTCAAATTCCTGTTTGTTGTACTGATTATTCCGTAATATTTTTGTCTGTAACTTCTCAAAATTGTAAGGGGACATCTTGTTTTTCACAGGAACATTGTTATCTCAAAACTTCCATATGCCTTGCTTCATCAGCTATTCTCAGAAGTTAAACTACAGGTCTTAAATATTATCTGGTGGTGAAAACAGCTTAGCTTCTGAGTGAGAACTTGAAATCTGTGATTTGGTATTCTCAGAAATACCAAGTACTTTATGATTTTCCATTGGGAACTATAATAGTTTAGTAACTAGTGATTTTTGTGAGAGTGAACATAACACTATCTGCCAGACCATGCAAGAAACATGACATGGGAGTGGAATGGAATGTTCTTCTTTCTGATAATAAGGCTAGAATGTTTTATTCTGATGTGGAACCTTCCCTTTCTAATTTATTAGTTACCTATATGGCTACTTGTATAGCAAAATGAGAAGGAACTAGAACATTGATCTAAGAATGAGCAATAATAATTAAAAAATAGGGAACCATTAATAATGAGAGGTCCTATTTGGGGATACTTTGCATATTACTTTCAGAAAATATTACTGAAAGGAATATTACTGAAAGAAAGACCCCATCAAAATCTAGAAAGCACATTGATTTGTTAAATGAAGCATCCTCTGATGCATTCAAGAGATTCCCTTTTAGGAAATAAGGATAGAGTTAGATGTTTTGGATAGTAAAAGATCTGAATGATTCCCTCAGGCTCCCCACATCTTGTTTCCATTAGGCTAAAATAATTTCTTTACTGAGGCCCTGTTATTTATTAGTTATGTTTAGTGTATTTTATTTGACTTATAACTTTGTATATGAATTAGCCCTTTAGGGAGTACAAATATAAAGAACCATTCTATTAAGGTCTATCTGTATACAGTGATCTAACTTTCTTAGTGTTTACCATTTATATATTTCCTTTATCCTCTAGCTTCAAAGGAATATTTTGGCATCCAATCCCAGAGTCACAAGATTCCACATTAATTGGGAAGATAACACAGAAAAACTGGAAGATGCAGAGAGCAGTAATCCAAATCTACAGTCACTTCTTTCAACAGATGCATTACCTTCGGCATCAAAGGGATGGTCCACATCAGAAAACTCACTAAATGTCATGTTAGAATCCCACATGGACTGCATGTGACCACCTGCCATCCCTTTAGTACAAATTAAGCTATAAAAACACACAGAACTATTTCCCTGAAATTCCGTAAGTACATAGTCAAGATGCAATGTGAAGAATTTGTTTAAAAAACATCCTGTAGAAAGTTTATAAGAAAACCAGTATTTGAGCAAATTGTGGAATATAAATACAACTATTTTTAAGTAAGTTTTTCTCTAATGTGTTATTTTATTTGTTCTGAAACTAATCTGATTAAAACATATATATTATTTTCTTCTCCTCTATATGTAATTAAAGCACTTAAAAAGAAAAATGAATCATTAGACCAGGTTGTAAAGATGTCTTAGCCTCCTGGATAATAATCTTTGGACCACTATCTTAACTTAACCTTTGAAAGAACAAAGTGCACTTCAACTAAATGTGTCTTCCTGCGATAACATAATTTGGTTTGATTTAAGGGGCAAATTTCCATTCTTTTCCCGGCATACCCTTAAAGAAGGGATTTGAAGTAAACTATATGTGACCAAGAACTTCAGGATCTAGTTTTCCAGGCCACTTTGAAGCCTCTTATGTCTACTATTCAATTCATATAATGTTAGACAGCATTCAGTTTGGTTCTAAGATAACAAATGTGGTTAATTGTTTATAAGGTCCTCTGGCTATGATTCTTGTTTTTATAACAGTTTAGGACATCACAACATTTCTTGATTCATACATCATCATTACCCAGTGAATTCAACATGTCAGAAGCAGATACAGACTCCCTAAGTTTAAGAATAGGAGAGTATAATGACTTTGTTCTGTTCATTAGATTTCTAAAAAATACTATGAACATAACCCTTTAAAACTGTTTTGACAAGTCATCTGTTGTTGGCAGCATTTATATAAAAACAGCAGATTTGGAAAGATATATTTAGTTTTATCGTATGAAACTATATGTATTTCCACATAAAGTACTTTTCTCCGTATCTGATACTCATGTACAATATTTGTGGTAGACATACTCCAGATTGCTTTTAAAAAACCTCATCTGAAAAAGCTATCTTGAAAAGGAATGCGTTAACTAAATGGGCCAAAAGGTTCTTTTTCTTTGATGAGAGCTAAGTCCTTCCTCAGAAAGTTTCTTATGTTCCAATAAATTAAATGTAGAACACTCTCATCACTCTTGCTGCTAATCAAGACATTAGCCATATAATACAGAATTATGCAGTGCCTTCATAGCTAAAACTTTTATACTGCACTTTTTAAAAGCATTTATTTTGAGGAAGGGAAAGGGGCATTTGTCTGAATATGGATTCGAAGCTGTATATATTTCCTGTCATTCTACAAAGTGACTTTGTGAAGCAAAATTTTGCTAAATGTTAAACTTGAAAGTTTAGTATACCAGATAATTAAAATACTGTCCACTAACTAGTTCATAGACTTTAAAAGTAAAATACGTACGACTGTTAAAACAACATGAAGAAAATTTCATTTTTGTCTAATTGCAATTAAAAGAAAATGTTAAAATATTAAAATGAAAATAAAACTAATACTTTCCAACCAAGAGCTCAGTGATTAATATAACAGGAACACAATACATGCTTATTAGAAATAAAGCATATATAAGCCAAATTACCAAATCAATTCACAGCTGAGTTTTTATCCTGATTAATTAAAACTGATTTGTACTGACATCAAACAGGTTTTTACATCAGTTTGTAAACTGACAGCCAATTTTCACAGAAGTTTGAGACTTAAAAACTATTATCTCTTATTTAACAAGTTGATGGTTCTATAATTTTAAAAATTAAAGATTGAGTATGCAAACATTAGGAACTAAGAAACTAGAATGCATAGGTGGTTTTTTATTTTTTCTTTTTAGCTAGACACTGCCTGAAATAACAGCTAGAAAATTTGGAAATGTTTTTTCCCTTTCTGTTCATAGTGAATAGCTGTGTCCTGAGAAGATAAACATGAACAAATTACTTATGCCACAAAGGAAATGGGCGAGTAGGCCAGAGGGAAGGCGGCTATCATTGGAGCTGAGAGAACAAGCCGAAGTCTGAGAAACATGCATGCATTTGTTCATTTATAATCTTATACAGCCTTAGGCTTTCATTTGGTCTTAACCCTCAGGTTTGAGGTTTTCTAGTTACCAAGAAAATGGCAACAGTTTTCAAAACATTTTACTGTAATCTATGGTAAAAAAAGAAATTTAAGTATGACCCCCATAACACAAGTGTGTACATTAACAATTTTCACATAGTACACCCAGAATAGTGCACCTTTACTCTGGGCACCAGTGTCCTATAGCATCTGTTACTGTATTTCGTTTTGAAAGTGCTGGTTCTGACCCATGAGTAACTTTCTATGACCCTCTAATGGGTTGTGATACAGTTTAAATAAAGGGTAGTTTGGTCCTTTGGGTGGATTAGAAGTATCAATAACTTATCTACAGTTCTAAAATTTATATTCCTTCTACCTGCCATTTCTTTCATATTTGGATTATGACCTTGGCAATAAGACAGAAAAGTGCTAATTCAGTGAATTCAGCAGCCATTCAGTTTAAAACTGTCCAAAGACTCTGAAATTACTAGTAGTCCACAAATTAGCCTGGTCTTATTTCTTGACACTCCATATAATAATTAAGTTAGGAAACATTCCACATCATTACTCGGGAAGCTCTTTTATTCGTTCATTGTTAATATCATTTAATACAGAACTCTAAAATGCTGAGTCATAAGATTTTGAAATGCACATGAAGTGTTCATATATTCCTGCCTTCTTCCCTTCCAGTACCCTAAAGCTTGTCTACCCTTCTCAATCCATAAATCTCTTCTTGTCAGTGCTTAATATACTGTTTAGTTATATTTCAAAGCTGAGACCCCTTAAAACAGGGACCTTGTTACTAGGGACCATTAATGGAGCACTTCCTGTTTTATAAGTTTTAAAATATAAGCTTCTCCTAAGAAATCTGAGTACAGGCCATGGATAGTAGACATCCCTAACAAGTAACAACATTTGTAAAATGTATGAAACCAAAGGCCTACTATAGGAGAACAGGAGAAATATTTTCCCAGTCAAAACAGTTTAGAAATTTTAAATGGCATCAAAACATGTCTTTTAAAATATAATTTTTTCCTAAAGTCACTTTATTATCAAATCTTAACATTCTATCAGCAAAGGCTTTAAATATACTGTACTTACTGAAGAATCATTGCAGTGTATGAATGAAGCGCCACATTGCAGTGATAAAAGTACACTTTCCACATACTAAGACACATTTTCTACCTAAGAATTTTTAGCAGGAATCACTGTTGCCTGTGAGATCCATAAGCATGAAAATGCCTTAAGCTTTATGCCATCTATTTACTTTGTAAAGTGAGATTTTACCCCTATTTAGTTAGTTTCAGCACTGTTTGCTGGGTCTTCACAGAATTACAGATGCTGCCTAGGCATGTACAAAGGTAATCACTAGAGAATGAGAAAATTGAACACAATCATTCAAAACTAAGATCCAAAAAGGCACATGGAATAAGCTTTTGGAAAATAAGTGAAGGTGGAGCTTTTGAAATATTTTCTTAGAGCTACAAAAGTAATGCTGAATATTTACTTAGGTTTTTGGCAGTAACTCAAAAATCTTGAAATATATCCTATTATAGGTACTTTCTCACAAGAAAATAACCATTGTGTTAGAGTCTGAAGTAACATTAAACTAATTGAAATTATCACATAAAATACCTGCGCTAGTAGATCCAATTCCTGTGGTGAGCACAGATCTTGGTGTAATCTTTGCTGCATATTTGAGGAATTGAGATTTCCCTGTGCCAGGATCCCCAACCAATAAAAGATGAGATTCACCTAGAAAAGCGTAAATAAAGTTACTAATTGCTATGAAAAGACTCATAAGTGTAATTAGTCAAAAATGGTCCATTTGGAATGCTCACACAATTTTTATTTTATATAGTATTTTAGTTTAAGGTCATTCAAGGAAGACTTTAACCAGAATGTCCTTAGAAAAGATAACTTTTAAAATAAATAATAATCTTTGCATTTCTGAATGCAGCATTTAAATTTAAAAACTTGTAAGAGATTTTTGTTCTAGTTCCAGATATTTAGGGACTGTGTTTAACATTTAAAAAACTTTTGGCTTATAGAGTTTCCAATTGTATTTAATCTATTTTAAATATCAAATGACTGATTAATTCTTTCCATCCATCCATACAAGTATTTTTATTTAAGTACTTTTAAGTGTTTGCAACTTTGTATGTGCTTTATAAACACCAAATCACTTATGATTCTAACAGTTAAGTGAAAACCTTTTCATTCTATGAAAATTTTAGTAGTTTAATGAAACATCTATCTTAAAAGTTCTTACTTTTCAAATGTAACAGAAAAACATGTGATATCCTGTGGCAGATGTTATCTCACTGACCAAGCAAATTTATTCAGTCATATCCAAGTATTTTCTGAAAATATTAATAAGGAAATACTATTTAAGTTCAACATTTAGCAGAATGCCTTGCAACAGTAGGTAATCAAAACATACAATATGCATAAACCTTATTATACTTACTATTCTATACTGTACAGTATGGTTTTTGAGTCCTAACTAACACCTGGTTTACAATAATGTCCTTTTAGTCTTTTGGTTAAGACTTTGGTTATTATGGCCCCACCTATATGAGGGCCATAATAAACCTAATTTATGCCATTCAGGTCAGTTAAGTGTGTTAACCACAAAAGAGCTCCCTGCCATTTGGAAATGACTTAAGAGTCATTTTGGCTTGAATGCGTGACCTGGAGCAGCACCTCTCAACAGATGGCATATTTGCTAGCCACCAGCAGAAGGGGAACCAGCAGGCAGAGGACTGAGCCGCGGTCTAAGAGAAACACACTGACAGTCACAGATGGAGAGACATTGACCTGGAGACATTGAAAAGCACTATTTCCAATCTCTTCTTCTTGGAGAAAGACTGGAAAGCCAATGAAAAACACAGACAGTGAAAGAAACATAAAGATTTTATACTGTGGCTCCCTTATAGGAGCGAAAATAACATACTCATTGAAAAAGTCTTTGGAAAGACAGGAATTCTACAAAGTAGTTCCTGATGTTGGACTGAGTATCAGTGAACAACTGTCAGTTTTTAAAAGGTTGCGTTTGGAAAATAAAGCTCAACAAGCAGTTTTTTATTGAGCAAAGGGAAATCGTAGCTTGTCTTCTTCTGTGTTAGTAGTTCTCAGAAATCTTAATGGGTACCAACCTCTGACCCGTGTTCCTGTAGCATCGGTTCTTTGAATCCCACCAGCCAGCACCATGGCCACAGCAAGCTTTACTAGGTACATTCCAAAAACTTGAGGGCACAAGCTGGCCAATATTTCATTCCTTCCTGGGAAAGGCAGAAAGATGAGTTATGTAATTTTTCAAGAAATACTTAACTGAAATTTCCCTCTCTATCCTATTGTCTTATAAACACTCTAAAATGATCTAACTAAAGGAGTGAATAATGTTGTTTTGTTCCTAAAAGTCCTTTTCTTATTAATGCCTTGAGATGAAAAGCTCTGGCTGCCACCTGTTTTAAGTTTCTATAAATTTAGCATATTTACAAGGGACAGAAAGAAATCTCTCTTCTCCCTTATGGGCCAACATTATCCCTTAAAAATAATACCAGCTGCACTTCCTGTGCAATAATTTCAGTAAAATACTTCACTGCCTAAATAATAGGGAGGTGTTTGATTTCAGGAACAATGAGTCAGACTGTAGAAAACTAAGTAAGGTACTTGGAGCTTCTTCAGGGGTATAAGAGGTAAAATCAACCCATCCTGTGAGTCAATTCAGCATTTGCTATGAGCAGTTTGGCAAATTGTGTTTTATCTAGACTGAGTATCGGTGTTATCAGGATATTTAGAAGATCATTACAAACAACAACTCTAGCAGTCCAAGCTAGAGTTCTTAGATTCTTTCAATCACATGCTTTAAATAAGAAGTTATCATTGTCTTAGGTTCTGTTTCTAGAAAGGTCAGACACTAAATCTGAGAATCTGCCTCTCCCATCCATGAATAATTTAGATATTTCATTCTGTCATTGGCCAGTCAACCAATGAGACTCATAGATTCTAACAAGCCTTTCCTGTGGCCGTCTTACTTGGAATTCACTACTGTGATGGCACTCTCTGTGTCTACATTCATGTTAGCAGAAATTAATGTCCGTATGTGTGTGCCTAGTCACTCAGTCATGTCCGACTTTTTGTGACCCCATGGACTGCAGCCTGCCAGGCTCCTCTGTCCATGGGATTCTCTAGGCAAGAATACTGGAGTGGGTTGCCATGCCCTCCTGCAGGGGATCCTTTCAACCCAGGGACTGAACTCAGGTCTCCGGCATTGCATGCAGATTCCTTATCATCTGAGCCACCAGGGAAACCCAACGTCCTCATGCTGGTAACTGATTTGCACATCTGAGGGCTTTTATAGTTAACGTTGAGTTTGTACACGTTTCAGTGGTAACTCTTTTGAGGAGGAAGATAATCATACAAGTACTGCTTTAGCTGATGACACCAGTTCCAGAAGCTTCTCCACCAAGATAAAGGAAAGGGGTTCCTCCATAATTTATGGCTCTATGCACAAGGGCTACTTTTGTTAATGACTCAAAATTGACTCGGTGGCAGTTAAGCTCTGGTAATGGCAGAAGTGGTGAAGAAAGAAAACATTCTAGTATAAATAAAATGGGAACCAAAAAAAATAATTAGTCAACCCTGGAAGGAATTTCATTAACTGCTAAAGGGAATCCCTCCCTTTTCCAAGGTAGAAAGCCCAGAGAAAAAGATGAAATGTCTGAGATCTACATAGTTAAGACCTGACAGCAGGTACATAAATTCTGACCAGAATCTAAAAATTACACATACAAAGAAATAATAGCTTCAGTAAGCAGGGAACAAGTAGACAAACTGGCCTGGGAGACACTCAAGCCGAAGTTGTCAAAGAGCCTCTGAGTAAAGGATTCCCAGACTAATGTGCTGACAGGAAGCACTTCCTATGGGCTCTCAGGTCAGAGCCCAGTGTTACTTACTAGCTGGTGACCTCGGGCAAGGTTCTTACTCTCTCCGCCTCCATCTCCTTATCTGTGAGATGGAAATAATAATGGTATTGCACATAAGAGTTGTTCGGGAGTTAATTATTGCACGGCACACAGAACAGTACCTGGCACATAGGAGCTACTGAAACTATTATACCTGTATTACTTGCGCCTGTTTCTTATCTCACCATTTCCTCACACTGTGGTCAACATAAAAGATAAACTGAAGTCAGGTCTGAGGTACCAGGGAAAGGCAAAGGGGAAGGTCCATTCCCTAAATTTGTATCTAAAGTTGAAAAACTTAATTCCTTGGGTCATGGCAATAGAAGCTCTCATGACTCTATCACAGAAGAGAATTCATCAGGGAGAATAACACCCTAACACTTTCCTTCCTCTCCCCACCCCGGGCAAATTTCTGGTTCTAGACCGTGTTAATAGTGTGCCCATGTAATCCACTCTTGTGGCATGGCCATCATTTACCCCAATGAAGAGAACTTAGGTCTAACATGACAAGTCACCCTGGAGTGGGTTCAGATGGCCCAAGAGAACCCAACCCCTTTGGGTTTCTAGCCATCCTCTAAGCATCAGGGTCAGGGGATTCCTGAGATCACAAGAAAATCTTCAGCTCCTTGTCAGCACTCACAGGACCAGATCTTAATGAAGCAAGCCAGCCTCCTAGAGCTAGCAGTGTAGTAATGTCTGCCTTCAGACAAGCGATATGAAGACACACTTTGGATATAGCTCCCCACCTCCACACCCTCCCTCCGCACCCCCCCTCCTCCACACACACTTTGAAACGGTAAGATATGGCTGATAATAGGTACTCGGGAAACTAACAAAGCAGAATCTTCATACTGAAAAGAAAAATGTTGCCTCATTTACTCCCTGTCTTCCTACTTATATTTCTCACAGGTTATTATATTTATTTCTTCCTTTCATCTGGTAAGTAAGATATATAGCTATAGCCTTCTATTTAGAACAAGACAGACTCTTTGATCAGCACTTCTGATAGCCCTGTATGATGCCCTTCCTAACACTGTTAAAGATTTTTGTAGGGAATTGATCCAGAGTTTCTCCAAACTGTTAAGTAAGAAAACTTACGTAAAAATATATATGGTTCATAGAGTCAAAGCACTGAAGAATTGATGCTTTCGAATTGTGCTGGACAAGACTCTTGAATGTCCCTTGGACAGCAAGAAGATCAAACCAGTCAATCCTAAAGGAAATCAACTCTGAATATTCACTGGAAGGACTGATGTTTAAGCTCCAATATTTTGGCCACCTGATGCGAAGAGCCAACTCACAGGAAGAGACCCTGATGCTGGGAAAGATGGAGGGCAGGAGAAGGAGGGGGCAACAGCAGGTGAGATGGTTGGATGGCATCACTGACTTAATGGACATGACTTTGAGCAAACTCCAGGAAGTGAAGGGCAGGGAAGCCAGGTGTGCTGCAGTCGATGGGGTCGTAAAATTAGAGATGATTTAGGCGAATGAACAACATGATTTGTAAAAGGTTTGCTTAATGAAGCTATAATATAGAGACCTTTGGTTCTTTCTGTATGGATCAGATAAAAGAATGATTGATAACCACTATATATGTGTTACACACATAAGCCAAAGGAAAAAAAATCCCATAAAATAAAAGCCAACTGCTTGTATTTAAAGCAAATGAAAGTCTTATTTTGTGGAATGATATCTGTCCAATTCAATACATGATTTAAGATACGTAATCACTATGTATTAGATCTGAGGTGAAGCTTCTCAGAAATAGTCTATTACTGGGTTCCATTAATTTTTCTCGACGATGCCTCCAAGAAAGAATGAAAACATACACTTGAAGATTTAATTGGTGTTGTATATAGTTGGGATTTTCTTAATAAAAAATACTCTAGAAACCCAAAGGCTATAATATTTTCATCTGTTTAATTACATATTAAGTGTCATAGTCAGAAATTTTTGCTGTGATGACAAAGATTTTTTGCATCTCTCTTATCATCTCTTACCATTCCATATTTTTAAATCTTCAGCAAGAGTGTGAAGCTGTCTTAATGATACAAGATGAATCAGAAGAGAAATGATTTTAACAGAATAAAGTTTCATAACAGAATGAATTTTGCCTGTTTAAGGAGGAACTATATGTTTAATTGGTAAAGAAGGTAGAAAACTCAGAAACTATTTTGGCAAGATAAGAGATATTAAAACAATAGTTGGAAATGGAAAATCTCTTGGGATTTCCAGTAAGATCACTAAACAGAGAGGATTATGCCAGAAAAGGGCTTTAAAGGGAAGACTACAGCTAGAGGCACTGGCTAAAGCTACTCCCTCAGAACACAGCCACTGAGGAACAGCATGTAAATCACAAACATCATGAATGAAACGCCATTAATAAATATCAGCTCCATACCCTTAATCACAAACCTGCAAAAGGATCGCTCTTATAGTGTTCCCAAAAGTCTTCAAATTCCTTTCGGACCTCCTCATCCATGTTGACCCCTGCAGACTGTTCGTTATTTACTTGGACATAATTGGCCCTCAGGACTATCTCCACTTCACAGCGCACATCTTGCTTAAAGGGCTTCCACCGCTGCATTACAACCCCATAAATAGTGATGTCATCACCTAGAAAAAAGCACTGAGTGAATTCACAGTAGCATCCTGCCTGCTTGGGCACAAACTCAACAAACGACCAGAACCAAGAAGTCAGCCACTGCCCACCAGGGTTTACAGTGGTGTCAGTCAGTCAGTTCAGCCGCTCAGGCGTGTCCAACTCTGTGACCCCATGGACCGCAGCACGCCAGGCCTCCCTCTCCATCACCAACTCCCGGAGTCCACCCATACCCATGTCCATTGAGTCGGTGATGCCATTTAACCATCTCATCCTGTCGTCCCCTTCTCCTCCTGCCCTCAATCTTTCCCAGCATCAGGGTCTTTTCCAATGAGTCAGCTCTTTGCATCAGGTGGCCAAAGTATTGGAGTTTCAGCTTCAGCATCAGTCCTTCCAATGAACACCCAGGACTGATCTCCTTTAGGATGGACTGGTTGGATCTCCTTGCAGTCCAAGGGACTCTCCAAGAGTCCTCTCCAAAAGCATCAATTCTTGGCGCTCAGCTTTCTTTATAGTCCAACTCTCACATCCATACATGACCACTGGAAAAACCATAGCCTTGACTAGACGGACCTTTGCTGACAAAGTCATGTCTCTGCTTTATAATATGCTGTCTAGGTTGGTCACAACTTTCCTTTCAAGGAGTAAGCATCTTTTAATTTCATGGCTGACACTCCTCTAGAAACCATGTGGGCAAAAGAACACAGTGTCCCGATTTATTTTTTTAATCAGGCACTTGTATTTGCACAGCTAAAAGCTAAAGCCAGCATTTTAATTTTTCTTAATCTGCCATATGATAATCACACCAAATTCTAACCTGTCCCTGGGAAAATACTGGATGATATATTCACTGTGATTCTACTGCGTGAAATGTTCATCCTCTCAGAATCAGTAACCATGTAGTTCTCACTTAATCAAGAGGTGGGGACTGCAGCCAGAAGGATAAAGTGCAGTCTGTCCTTCAATATTGCCAGGGGATTGGTTCTGGAATCAACCTCATATATCAAAATCTGGGGATGCTCAAGTCCCACAGTCAGCCCTCCAAATCTGTGGTTCCACATCCGTGGATTCAACCAACCATACATCATGTAGTACTCTAGTATTTACTATTGAAAAAAATGTGTGTATATGTGGACCCATGCTGTTCAAAGCCCTGTTGTCCAAGGGTCAACTGCACAATCAACCGCTGTCAGGAAAGGAGACAATACTGCGATGATGGGTACAATGATAATACTACTAGTTCCCAGTGTATTCATTTTTACTCAAGTACACTTGTTAACATTCATTCACCTTTTTTGCTTTTTAAAGAACAAAAGAATGAGTGCACCAAGAAATGAATGAATACTTGTTCTATTTCAAAGCTCCTCTCCACAAGCTATGAAAGGAAAAATCCCATTTGATTCTTCTTGGTTGGTTCCTTCCCACTTAAGGACACTGTCCCAATCTTGATTAATGAGTAGAATATTAAACTTTTACAGATTTTTCCTAAGAGGCGTTGGATAGTTTATAGGAATATTCTCCAAATATCGGCATATTTTTTATCATTACATACAATATAATAAACCCATTAACAAGTATAGGTGAATGCTTGGCATTCAATATTTTGGTGCTACAGAAAAGGGGGCCAAAGGAAAAAAAAATAATCCTAGTCCCCAAGATTTCAATCTTGTTGCACACAGGATGCTGGACATACCTTAAGCCAATACTGGAATTTATACTTAGCAAAATAAACTTAACCGACAAGTCTTCATTTCCAAGCCTGTGTCAAATATTAATGTTTGATATTTGTTGGTGCAAAATACCTTTCACTCTCTTAACATCAATGTGTGATGTGTAATCTGGAGTGATTTTGCTTTCTTAAAGAGAAGTCTTCTGTGAATGCTAAGTTAATGGAACTGGTGCCAGCAATTCACCAAATAGAAGGCATATTTCTAGCCTCAGGCAACTTGATAGTAAATGGTGAGAAAGACATTAAATAGGTTCTTCATACACTTTCAAGATCCTTCCTAAACCACTGCTGGATGGTTTTCAAATCCCATCACGAAGAGTGATCATTTACTATATTGACTGTGCCCAATTTTTTTTTTAGATGAACATAAACAGGGCAACATTATATGAGCACTTTGATGAGTTCTCTACTATGGTCATTTAAATGGGTCCTTTTATAGATGTTGTTTCTCTGTTAAGTCAAATGAGAAACTTATGTTTCAGATATTGTACCCACTAGAAATACCCTGACTCCACTAAGAGGCAACAATGTGTAAAATGTGGAGTACTCCAACTGTGAGGTTTATGAGATAGTCCAAGGCAATAAGAAACTTAGGTGATTTTCTACAGTAAATGTTATTGGAAACTATAATATTTTCAGGAAACTAAAATTCTCACTTTTACACAATCCCATCTCTCTGTGCCCCTCTCTCTTTTGCAGCATATTTACCACTGCAACCACCTGTGATCAGACCTATCTGTGATCTCCTGCCACACTGACAGTTAGCAGTATATAACCTCCAACTTCACCACTCTGCAGCATCAGACTGGAGTTCCTAACTAGACTGTGAATTCCCAAAGGGCAAGGATTATGCTACTTATGTCTTCTGATACTCAAAAAGGTTTGTAGCAGTGGATAAATGAAAAAATAGCTGTTGACAGACTGCTGCCATCCATTCTTTATTGTACGTGACATGTGAAAGAAAAATACCTTAAGATTTTTTAAGTGCAGAAAGAATTCAGTTCAGACAAACTGGATGAAAATATCTTAATCTCTATCAAAGAACATTTTCATGTTCTAGCTAATAAGCTCATACGAGCACTGCTTTGCTGATCCAGACATTAAAGACTCCGGTTAAAATCGAGAGTCTTATATGAACAAGGTACATAGCCTTGTCCATTTAGTAGGCAATCCATGATCAAAGCTATTATTTACTTAAAATATTATTTGGAGAACTATAAATTGTTACTATATTTGATATAAATGTCAAAGTATGAGTTGGTGATTCTTGGTGGAAGGGGAAAGCCTTTAAACAAGGAATTATTCTTAACTCTAGATACTGAACTCTTGTTTTCATAGAGCCTTTGCCTCATCATTTTAATGAAATGTCAGCTCAGTAAATATTTTTTAAGTAAGGCATTTGGAGAAGTCAAGGGTTAAGAAAAGGGAAATGATGGCATTTAGAGGAATGAAACATTCTTGATCTGTCCAAGTAGGGGAACCCTGGGATATGAAATAAGAGATCAAACCTACCTGTTACACCTCAGGGGACACACTGGTACTATTTGTCTTTTATAGAGATTAAGGTCTTTTATGTGAGGATGGGAAATATTTAAAGCAGGAAATGTTGAAATAAATTGAAAGGCAGTCATCAATAATAATCATTTCCATTTTCTGACCCAACTTCAATTCAAATTAAATGTTAAACAGCCAGTGAAAATCACTAAACAAACATATAGAACCAAGTTTTTAAGGTTTTTGGAATAAGAAAAACAGAAAGATTAAGCTCTCATGGGCAAGTCAGGTTCTTCATCTATTAAACAAACAGCTAGACTAGATAGCTAAACTCCAGCCCAGCTTCTTTCCTGCTATCACCTCCCACCTCATGCCAGTCTCTGTTCTCAAGTTCCCCACACTCACTTGCAGTTGATCTCAGGAAAATAAAAAGTGGTTTTTCCTAATCAATACTTTTGTTGTTGTTGTTTAGTCACTAAATCATGTCTTGACTCTTTTGGGACCCCACGGACTGTAGCATGCGAGGCTCATCTGTCCATGGGATTTCCTAGGCAAGAATACAGGAGTGGGTTGCCATTTCCTTCTCCTGGGGATCTTTCCCACCCAGGGATCAAACACACATCTCCTGCATTGGCAGGTGGATTCTTTACAACTGTGCCACCTGGGAAGCCCAATCACTACTTTAGGATCTACTATATAAACTAACAAAATTTCATTCTTACCAGATTTGCAACTGTCTACTAAATCATCTTCCAGGATAACCTGCATCGATCGTGGAATACTTCCAACAGAGAGCCTTTGAACCTAGCAAGGAAAAGAAAGCAGATACTGAGTACATGTAGATATATACTAAGTATTCGGAAGCCTAGCAGTTCTTGAAATTACTGTCTCTGTTTCTCTGGTATTATCATGGGGATTTATGGAATTTTCTTGAAACTTGTGCCTACTATCAATTTAAGAATTTACTAGAACTAGAATAAAATAAAAACATCCAGATGGAAATAGCTCAATATAGTCTACCTGGTGGGTGGTCAAAATAAAACATGCTCCAACTACTAAACACAATAATAAAGTTACTTAGCTAGAAAAGAGAGGCAGTTCTTCTCTGATCTGTATTCATAAGACCTGGGACAAATCACTCAGTTCCTTTGATTATTCGTTAGTAAGAGAACTCTAGCTTTATTCTTATTATATGTGTGCCTTTATTCCTTCCTTTATAGAAGACTAATTTCTCAGGTTCCCTTGCAGCTAAGTGTGGTCATATGATTAAGTTCTGACCAATGAGATAGTAGCAAACTTGTTGCAGAAGACTTTGAGGGAGACTGCTTAAATGGATACTTGGTTTAGAGGACAGGTGCTTTGCTTCTTTTTCCTATTCCTTGACTGGGATACAGATGTTACAGAATTGTAGCCACCATCCTAAAACATCCACCACCATAAGAATAGAAGCCATTTATTAAGAATGGTGTAGAAAGACAGAAAGAAGGAGTCTGAATCTTTGACACTGAATAAAGCCTTTGTGTTTAAGTTGCAAGTAAAGGAAACTAAGGCTCATGCACACATGTTTAAAAATGTTTATGTATGCCTCATTTGGCACAGCAAGTAACTTGCACCTAAACCCCAAATCCGGCCCACTCCAGTGTTTAACCACCAATTAAACCCATTTAATTTTTTCCTATCACTTAGGTGAACTTCTTAAAAATTCACTTTTTCAATTTAAAATAATTATTAAGTCACTTCATAACCTTCCTGCCAATGCTCACTATAAAAAGACGACCATTTTACAGTCTCTAAATTCTATACTCTATGGGAAAAAATTTCCTGCTTGATCTTCTACTAAGTGATGACCCAAGTTCCAGATGTAATCCGTTACATGTTCCCTAGTCCTGGCAATTTACCCAAAGCTGAAGAACACGTCTTCAAATTAATTTTTCTCATGTATTTGATCATTTACCTGTTCCTGAATTTTGATTTCCTGATAATCTCTACACCTAGTTGGAGATGACAAGTCTGAGAGGCAAGTGAATTTTGAAGAATCACAGTTTTCCAAGCTGGGACATGAGGATGGCCGGAAGAAAGTATAATACTGCTCAAAGTCAGCCTGGACCACAAATCCATGCTTGCACTTATTACACATGTAATCCCGCTCAAACTCCAGGATCTTCACCAGACTTGTTCGAATTACTGTCCCAGTGACAGACAAGAAGTGTCCCACATCCTTGGTTTTAGGGATGTGCTCCCTCACCAGCTCAGGACAAACAGGCAATCCTGATAGAGAAACAAAACAAAAACACATCATCTTATATCTTGAGATATGATTCCATGCAATATATTTTTCTCGTATTTCCTAAAGGAGTACAATTTCAGGAAAAAAGGAAAAATTTCTGTGTTTTACTTAAGAAAAAGGTCAAATCAACTCAATTAAGAAAATAGAAAAGAACAACAGTCAGAATGGCCATCATCAGAAAATCTACAAATGATAAATGCTGGAGAGGATATGGAGAGAAGAAAACCCTCCTACACTGTTGATGGTAATGTAAATTGGCACAGTCCCTATGGAGAACAGTGTGGAGATTCCTTAAAAAACTAAAAATACAGCTTCCATATGTTCCAGCAATCCCATTCCTGGGAGAAAAACATGGTTGGAAAGAATACATACAGCCCAATGTGAACTGCAGGGCTGTTTACAACAGCCAAGACATGGAAGCAACCTAAATATCCATCAACAGAGGAGTGGATAAAGAAGATGTAGTACATATATACAATGGGATATTACTCAGTCACTAAAAAGAATGAAATAATGCCATTCGCAGCAATAGGGATGGACCTAGAAACTGTCATACGGAGTGAAGCAAGGCAGAGGAGGAGAAACATCATATGATATCCCTTATATGTGAAATCTAAAAAGAAATGATACAAATGAATTTACTTACAAGAGAGTAAGAAAGTAAGAAAGAAACTCACAGGCTTAGAGAACAAACCTCTGGTTGCCGGGGGAGTAGAGGGAAGGATGAGGGGAAGGGTTAGGGAGTTTGAGATGGACAGATACACACTGCTATATTTAAAATAGATAATCAACAAAGATCTACTGTATAGCACATGGAAATTTGCTCAATGTTATGTGGCAACCTGGTTGAAAGGGGAGTTTGAGGAAGAATGGATATATGTATATGTATGGTTGAGTCCCTTTGCTGATAGTTTCCCTGAAACTGTCACAACATTGTTAATTGGCTATACCTCAATATATAAATAAAAGAAGAAGATGCAGCACATATACTTTAATACAATGGAATATTACTCAGCCATTAAAATGAATAAAATAATGCGATTTACAACAACATGGATGAACCTGGAGATTATCATACTAAGTGAAATAAGTCAGATAGAGACAAATATCATATGATACTGCTTACACATGGAATCTAAAAAAAAAAATGATGTACACACTACTATATTTAAAATAGATAACCAGTAAGGACCTACTGCATAGCACAGGGAATTCTGCTCAATATTCTGTAATAACTTAAATGGGAAAAGAACTTGAAAAAGAACAGATACATGTGTATGTGTAACTGAATCACTTTATTGTATGCCTGAAACTAACATGACATTGTTAATCAACTATGTTCCAATATATAATAAACTTTTTTAAAAAACTAGAATTATTCCAAATAACAATTGTCAATAGACTCTCTTTAAAAGTATATAACTAGATGATAAAATAACCTGGATTTTAAAAAGAATCTATCCTCTTAAGAAGGCTATCTGTTAAGTAGAATGTAAATACAGTATATTCAGTGTCTTACATTCTATCTCAGTAGAATGTAAAGAGAGTTTATAAATTTAACCTCACTCAATCATGAATACACTGCCACAAGCCACACATAAAATCAGTTGATGACTCTGAGTAAACCACAGAACTAAGAAATGGCAGCAGAATGACCAAAGGTTAGTGCTTTCTCTAGTTAGGTTTAGGATTTATTAATACAGAAATCTGACAGTGTTTTCAAGCCTTGTAACTTGCCCTCTCTCTCTAGTCTTGCCTTTCTCATGACTTCCAATCTCCTAGTCCAGACAAAAAGCACGAATCTCTCTGTGCAAATCATGGTACCTCTGCAGCTTTCCTAGGCTACTTTGGAGAACGCTTCCCAATTCACTCAGCAAGGTAAAGTACCTCCAGATTTACCCTTGTGCAAGAAAACTTCCCTGAGTCGAGGCTGGCACCCTCACACATACAAAAATAAAACAGCTAAGCAAAATGGGCAGATGAAAGCGCCAATGCATAAAAGATGTCCTTTATATCTGGAGGAAACTTCTGCCAGGAAGAGTGTAAAAGAAGGTACTCCTAGGGTCCAGAGACACCTTCCTTTCCTTGCAAATGAGGACCCAGACCTGGGCATGCTGGGTAATGACAAGACTATGCAATGATAGTTTGACTTCAGTCAGCATAAGGAGTTGTGCCAGAGAGATAGTCCACACTCAGGAAGAAAGCAGGTAGGAGGTGGAGGGTTTTAGGCTCAGCCACAAGGGTCCCTCTTATGCTCACCAACCCTCTCTGTGTTCCTCCTGCAGTGTGGCCAGGGTGAGTGAATTCCCTGCTGTCCAGACCCGCCAAGGGGCCTGTGGCTAAATGCAATTATAGCATCTCTAAAGAAAAAAACCAGATGAACAATTACAACCGATTTTTCTAAGAAAATCAGCTTTTCATTATCTCCTACACTTTAACAATACAGGGCAATATGACATCTTAATGTTGTTATCTCACTGAATGGAATCATGTATATGATACAGGTGAAAATAAACTTTTTTTTTTAGAATCAAACAAATTAGTCTGGAACATGATATCATTACCATTAAGTGGTTTATTTTTATTCTAAAGTAACTGCAGTATTTTAAGAAAAGGGTAGTAGAGGTGAGTGTATTTTTGGATCTTCACACTCTTTCATATTATTGCAATTTTTAAGCAAATTTAAAATATAAAGATAGAGCTAAAAGTAACAGCAAAACTGACCACAAAAAATCTTACAACTAAAAAAGAGTAAGGGACGATAGAAATGTCAATTTATTTTAATCTTTTTGTCTTACTATATGTTACTAAGTGTGTTCTTCACCTTATCCCAGTGAAGCATCAGGTACATCAGGAATTAAGCCACCATTAACACTAAACAACAAAAACTTCTAGCGTTCTCTGACTCATTCACTGAGAAAAATTAAATTATTACTTAGAGACATGTCCAGATCTGTGTTAGAGGTTATGTCCAGATCAAGTACTTCAGGTACGTGGTTGCCGGCAGGCAGTCTCTGGAAATCGGCATCAGCCTCAGAGCTTTTGAGAAATGTAGATTCTTGGGCAGGAGGTCAGATATCTTCAATGAGAAACTCCGGGGGTGGAGCCCAGCAATCAGCACTTTAACACGTCCTACAGGTGATTCTGATGCCCATTAATGTTTGAGAAACACTACTTGAAATAACATGTGAAAGGCTTCCCTGGTGGCTCAACGGTAAGGAATCTGCCTGCCAATGCAGGAGACATGAGTCCAATCCCTGATCCTAGAGGATACCACCTGCCACGGAGCAACTTAAGCCTCTGCGCCACAACTACTGAGCCTGAGCTCTAGAGCCTGTGCTCCATGAGAGAAGCCACGGCAGTGGGAAGCCTGTGCAACGCAGCTACAGAGTAGCAGCCACTCTCTGCAACTAGAGAAAAGCCCACACAGCATCGAAGACCCAGCACAGCCAAAAATAAATAAATAAATAATGTTAAAAAAAAAAAACCAACCCATGTGAGTGCTGTTTTTTTTCTTTCTCACTTACTTTGATGCTGTGTATTTGAATACCTTTCATCAAAACCACTGGGAATAGCAAGTAAATTTTCAGTGTCTAAGCTCAGTCGCTCAGTCGTGTCTGACTATTTGTGATCCCATGGACTGCAGCCCGCCAGGCTCCTCTGCCCGTGGAGTTTTCCAGGCAAGAATACTGGAGTAGGTTGCCATTTCCTACTCTACGGGATTTTCCCGATCCAGGGATCGAACTTGTGTCTCTTGCGGTGGCAGGTGATTCTTTACCACTGCACCACCTGGGAAGCCCAAGTAAACTTCAGACCAATAAAAATCCCAGAAGACAAAGAGCAATGCATATTCTAGAAAAACAAACCAGAAAAATGTCTTATGTTCCTAAGGAGATTGAACCACAGAGACATCCTGTGTGTGTGTGTGTTCAGTCACTCGGTCGTATCCAACTCTATAAGACTCCACGGATGGTAGCCCACCAGACTCCTCTGTCCCTGGGATTTACACCTGGTGAGAATACTAGAGTGGGTTGCCATTTCCTCTTCGAGGGAATCTTCCAGACCCAGGGGTCGAACCCATGTTCCCCACATCCCCTGCATTGGCAGGTGGATTCTTTACCACTGAGCCACTGCGGAAGCCCACAGAGGCATCCTAGGTTTTACTAATTCAAGGCCTTGCCTGAGTCCGAAATGGAGGTGCCATATACCTAAAACCAGACTGTTCCCACTCCTGGTTCATCCTGCCTGGGACACCCGCATTCCTCCCTGATCTCATCTTCTAGTCTAGAATCCTTGGGTGAATCATCTGGGACAATTCACTCCCTGCTCAGTGAGCTAATATATCTTCTAAATATCTTCAGTGACACATGTGTCACATAAGTAAAAGATGCCAGTGAGTGCCTTTACAATTATGTTCAATACGTACATATGCATGGATCTGTGGGCATACATACATGAATTGAGAAATAAATTTGACTATACAGCTGTCTCCCTTATAGCCTTGAAGCCCTTTAGATGAGGGACAATAACATATTCATTTTGGTTTCCCAAGGGTCTAGCAAACCCCCACATGGGATATGTTTTTAGAATGATGTTATTTTGGTAGTACTATAATTCGAAAGTCACTTTCTCAGAGGATAATGAAGAAACAGGCTAAACAGGATCACTTGGGCAGACAGAATTTTAGTATTTAAACTGAGCATCGAAAAGTGTCTAAACATAAAGACAGCCTAAAGTCATTTGTTAAATACCATTTCAATAACATCAACTAAAGTCCCTTTTAACAACCTTTCTGAAACATCATCAGAACATTTTTTCTTGATCCTTGCAAGATATTACCTAGTGTCTGATACATAAAAATTAATAATATTCATAATTTTATTCCAGTAAATGCAACTGCAGATACTATTTTTTCACCTAAATCAAATATCTGGTATTTTTTTGAATTTTAATTTATCTCCAAGGAATTCTATAGTGACTCCTAATCTTTCTGAAATCACAGCATTCATTTTTGGGTTTTGGGGTTTTTTTAGGTTTTTCTTGTTTTTTTTTGGCCAGGCAGCATTTGGGATCTTACTTCCCTGCCCAGGGATTGAAACTGCATCCCCTTATTGGAAGCACAGTCTTAACCACTGGACCACTAGGGAAGTCCCATAGCAATCAATTTTGTTATTTATAAATCCCCATCTTTCTGAAATATACTATAAAGCAAATACTTACTTTCAAACAAAATGGCACATGTGTTCTCTAATCTATTCAAAGAGAGCTTTAACACCACGAGTTGCTGACTGCTCCACTGCAATTTCTTAAGCTTAAGAGGCTTTGTCTGTTATTCACTCCAAAAAAGTTACTGAGGGCCTAATAGGTGGTCAGCACAATGCTAATCTTGATATATAAAAATAATGAATTTTCTCACTGGGTAGCATCTACCAAATTTTCTTACTCTTTGTATTACCTGTACTTTTATTGTCAGTAGTCACAAAAGCTCAGAAGGCTGTATTAGTTTTGTACACACAATTATATGTGTATATATGCACACAAATATACTGCTTCCACACATTCTCCCTCCTCTCAATTGGTATGGCTAGAAGCCAGCCTTGCCTTCCAAATGTCCAGAGAAAACAGTATAGAATCATGATTCTTCTCCAAAAGAGACCATCAATTACACAATGGATATGTTTTTAAGTATGGTGGCTTAGTTGCTAAATCGTGTCTGACTCTTACAACCCCGTAGACTGCAGCCCTCCAGGCTCTTCTATCCATGGGATTTTCCCAAGCAAGAATACTGGAATGGGTTGCCATTTCCTTCTCTAGGGGATCTTTCTGACCTGGGGGTCAAACCTAGCTCTTCTGCATTGCAGGCTGATTCTTTACTATCTGAGTCACCAGGAAAGCCCATTTTAAGTATAAAAATCAATTATTAGTGCTTGAACTCAATATATGTTGGGATTTCTCAAAATCTTCCTAAAAAATAATATGGCAGTAAAATTCACCTGATATCCTGGCATGAAGATTCTGCTTCATGGAGAGACCTTCAGGCTGAGAAAGGGACTGGAGAATCGTCAAGGCTGATCTTCTCAGTGCATTATCAAAAATAGTTAGCACTTCATTAGGGAATGCATTGAAATATTCCCCAATTTCCATGTTGGTCTCAAAAAGGGTCATGGCATTAACCACAACTGGGTAATGAGCATCTTCGTCTCTTTCCTTCAAGATGAGAAGTATGTCGTTCTTATGGTACTCCGAAACATAGGACTCGAACACTTGGCCAACCAATGTAACTTGATCGCTATTCATCTTGATCTAGGTAACTAAAGAAAGAGAAAGGACTGTGTTATACTTTTGATTGTCTAGACTTATACACACGTTTACAAAAAAGACTGTTGGGCTGTAAATCATTCTGACTTTGGGCCAGACTCTAATTTGATCTGAATTATCTGTTATAGTCACTTGCCTGGAAGATTCCAGTGGACAGAGGATCCTGGTGGGCTACAGTCCGTGGTGTCGCAGACTTGGACACAACTTAGCGACTGAGCACAATTAATAAGCACATAAAATCTTAAATGCCAGTCTTTTGGTTTAAGTTCCTGCTAGTAGAGTTCTTTGCAAGCATCTTGGTTCCAGGTTTTATTCACATAAAAAACATTTTTCTCTCTCTCCCCAGCAAACCTAGTCTCACACACACACACATATATTCATTCGTATTCTGCTACATACTACTATTCAGACTGGTAGCCAATTTTGACTTAAGTAGTTAACAAATCTGCTTTAGAAATTTACATTTGGAGGTAAAAGTGTTCCTATTTTCTTTTTCTAACCTTGTTGTTGTTTTAGTCTCTAAGTGATGTCTGACTTTTTGAGACCCCCCCATGGACTGTAACCCATCAGGCTCCTCTGCCCCTGGGATTTTCCAGGCAAGAATACTGGAGTGGGCTGCCATTTCCTTCTCCAAGGGATCTTCCCAACCCAGGGATCGAACCTAAGTTTTCCATGTCTCCTGCATTGGCAGGTGGATTCTTAACCACTGAGCCTCCTAGGAAGCTCCACACTAGAAATTAGCTGGCAGGAAAAAATGGCTTTTTAAAAATAATTTTACTTCTTCCCCAATTTGTTCTTTCAGTGCTTATGACTGGAAGGGGCTCAGTTGGCTTCAGCAAAAATAGTTGTGAAGAGTATAAAAAAAAAAATAGGAAATTAAATTGAGGAAAGGAAACTGGTCTCTAAATGAGAAATCACTATGATTAAAAGTAAATATATTACATTCTAATTTATATCTACAGATTAAAAAGGGCCTGCTGCTATTCTATTTACATTAATATATGCAGATAACATGTACAAGGCACTATTCTGGGAAATTTAAAAAGCACAATAAAAGGTCCTCTATGCCTCAGAGAACCAAAGAACAGATCAAATGAAGTGATGTTCTAACAGTGGTAAAAATGCAATACAAATGGGAGCACAAAAAGAGACAAGAATTAAATTTAAATGGAGTGACAACCCCAGACGTGCCAAAGGACAGTTACAAATAAACTGCCCAAATTGATCATTTAAGAAATTCACATTTGGTTTGGAAACAGACCACTGGAGGACAAACGTCCTTTGACATATTTCATTCAATCAACATCTGTTGGACTAGAAATAGATCTAAGAAGACTTATGGCGTTCACAGTTTAGCATCCTAAATATGTGTTACACGTGCTACTAGCAATATTTTGCTTTCTCTGGGAAACTACTCGAAGGTGTGAAAGGAGTAAAGGGGAGTATACCACAGTTATGTTAAGAATCCTGACACTTACAGGATACCAATGTGAGATTAAGAGATGTATAGGCCACTACACTGATAAGTATTTTGTGTGGGTTAGGTATAAATTCAGCGAAGGGTAAAGCAGAAAAAGCACTTGGGAAGGAACAACTAATCATATAGTATTTTCATCATTTGGCCTTCGCTGAAAAAAAAACAACAACAACAAACTGGGACTCCAAGAGTGGCTATAAGATAAGGTCTCAGTTCAGTTCAGTCACTCAGTCCTGTCTGGACTCTTTGCAACCCCATGGACTGCAGCATGCCAGGCTTCCCTGTCCATCACCAACTCCAGGAGCTTACTCAAACTCATGTCCATCGAATCAGTGATGCCATCCAACCATTTCATCATCTGTCATCCCCTTAGATAACCTCTAAGATTCTATAAATGCATATTAAATTTGGAGCCAAAAACTTAGCAACTTAAAAGGCAGTTCCACATAAGGCTTGAAGGGGGCAGTCTCAAAATTCATGGTTCATATTAAGATCAGTTTAAATTTCGCCTAGTCTTTTTGAAACAGCATCCCCCCCCCCAAAAAAAAAAAGGATTCACTTTCAATATCTGGGCACACCTGACTAAGCAAATGTTTCTAAGCAGCTTGCTAACCCTAGAAACATGCTCACCCATACTTGACCAGCGTTTTACAACTTTCAAGTTCCTTTTCCTTTTTCTTATGGAATATTTGAAGACAAAATAAATAAACCCGGGTTGTACTACTTTATAGTAAACCGCCACCTAGAATTACCCAGGAGGATGCAAAGGCTGTAACTTCCAGGTGGGTCCCTGGCAATCAGCCCGCGCATCCGCCGCACCGCCCCTCCGGGGGCCACGCCCCACGCCCTAAGATCCGCCCCTTCGGCACCGCCCCCTTCCCGTCCCCCAGCTTCAGCGCACCGCCTCCTCCCCGCGGGCGCTCCGCAAACGTGGAGCCAAGTTGTGCCGGGAGAACAGCTTTCCACACTTCCGTCTCTGGACACTGCCCGTGCCCGACAACAACACTTCCTAGGCTCGGCCGCGGGCAGCTCCGTCGCCGGCCCGGTCCCGAAGTTGAATAGTTTTGGAATTAACCAGGTGTGGGCAAGACTTGGGACGCACTGAGGGAGAAATAAAGAATGGTGAAACGAGGCGGCGGCTTTCACTTACTGGCGGTTACGCGGTGTCAGAAGTCACCGGGGGCGCGCTGCTCCCGACGCCGATGGGCACGAAGGGCTCAGGCCGGGCGGCGGGGTCGTGCGGGGAGCCCGCCAGGCAGGAGGAGGCCCCGGGTGGAGGCGGGGTGGGTGGCTGGGGCGGGGCGGGGCGGGGCTGGATGGAAGGGGCGGGGCGGGTCCCGGGGCGGGCTGGAAGGAGCGGTAGCGGGTGGCTCTCTAGGTTTTGCACGCGCCCGACTTTCCTTCTGTCTTAAGACCTCTGCCAGACCCAAGGCCTCCAAGATTTTTCTGCTTTCTTCTACAAGTTTTAGAATGAAGGTTTTCAGTTTAGGTTTATGATTCATTTTGAGCTGATTTTTGTATATGGTGCGAAATACGGATTTTTTTTTTCTAAATATGGATCTTGGGATAACTATTAATAAACGCTTTCCTGGTGGCTCAGAGGATAAAGCGTCTGCCTGCAATGCGGGAGACCCGGATTCGATTCCTGGGTTGGGAAGATCCCCTGGAGAAGGAAATGGCAACCCACTCCAGTACTTTTGCCTGAAGAATCCCATGGACAGAGGATCCTGGGGCGCTACAGTCCATGGGGTCGCAAAGAGTCGGACAAGACTGAGCGACTTCACTGTACTGTACTGTACTGTACCACTATTAAAAGAGCTGCATTTTTTCCACTGAATAACCTTCGGACTTACCTCCAGTATCAGTTGTCCTTATGTGTGCGGGCCTAAGATTTAATATTCTGTTCCCCGATGTATTTGTCTAGCTTTATAAAAATACGGTCATAAACAGGGTCATTTGAAAAGACCCTGATGTTGGGAAAGATAGAAGGCGGGAGGAGAAGGGGAGGACAGAGGATAAGATGGTTGGATGGCATCACCGACTCGACGGGCATGAGTTTGAGTAGACTCCGGGAGCTGGTGATGGACAGGGAGGCCTGGCGTGCTGCAGTTCACGGGGTCGCAAACAGCTGGACACGACTGAGCGACTGAACTAAATTTATAAAAACACGAGGTTGTCTTAATTACTGTAACTATAATGAGTCTTGAAATCGGGTAGATCGTTTGGCCTCCAGTTTTGTTCTTTTTCAAAGTTGTTTGGGCTCTTCTGTTTCCATATGAATTTTAAAGCCAGCCTGTCGTTTTCTGTGAAAAAGCTGGAATTTTTGTTGGGATTGCCTAGAATCTGTAGGTCAGTATGGGAAGAATTTACTTGTTATTAGTATTTTATGACCCTTGAATAAAGTAAACCTCCCCATCTATTTAGGGGTTATGTAATCTCAAAATTTTTTGTTGTTTTGTCAAATTCATCTGTCAGATTTATCCCTAAAATCATGGGAAAGAAGGGACCATACTTTTTGATTACATATAAATGTTATCAGTTTCAATTTCTGGTTGTTCTTTGCATACAGTTGATTTTTAACATTATTAAAATTTTTAAAGCAGTTTTAGGTTCATAGTAAAATTGAGTCGGAAGTACAAAAATTGCCCATATAATCCTTGTCTCCACACAGCTGCAACCTCCCTATTAGTATCCTTTTACCAGAGTGGAGTATTGGTTAAAATTGATGAACTGACATTAACACATCATCATCACTCAAAGTCCATGGCTTATAGTAGGGTTCACTCTTGGTGTACATTCTGTTTTGACAGAGGTATGATAAAAGGCGTCCATCACTGCATGTCACACAGAATAGTTTCACTGGCCTAAAAATCTAAAATCATCCCTCCTTCCCCTCTAACTCCTAGCAATAACTGATCTTTTTATTCTCTCTGTAGTTTTCCAGGATATCGTGTAGTTGAAATCATGCCTATGTATGTTGTCTTTTCAGATTGGCTTTTTCACTTAGTAATATACATTTAAATTTCTTTCATGCCTGTTCATGGCTTGGGCAACTCATTTCTTTTTGGTGCTGAATGATATTGCATTATCCGCACATACCACACTATCCACTCACCCATAGAAGGGCCAATTTTGGTTGCTTCCAAGTTTAGCCAATTATGGATAAAGCTGCCATAAACAAGCATGTGCAGATTTTTGTGTGAACATAGTTTTCAGCTCCTTAGGGTAAATACAAAGGAGCATGACCGCTGCATAATATGGTTAAGAGTAGTTTTGTAGGAAACAACCAAAATGTCTTCCAAAATAGCTGTACCATTTTGCATTCCCATCCATCACGAATGAAAGTTGCCTTTGCTTCACATCCTCTCCAGCATTTTGTGTTTTTAGTGTTTTGAATTTTAGCCATTCTAATAGGTATGTAGTATCTCATTGTTATTTTGCTTTGCATTTCCCTGTTGACATATGATGTTGAATATTTTTTCATACCCTTAACTTTTATCTGTATATCTTGGGTGTCTTCAGGTCATTTGCCCATTTTTAGTAACATTGCTTGTTTTCTTATTGTTGAGTTTATTTTTCTCAGAAAATGCCTCCAAGGAAGAATGAAAACAGACATTTGAAGATTTAATTGTTGCTTTATACATTTGGCATTTTTTAGATAAAATACACTCTACAAATCCAAAGGCTATAATGTTTTAATATGTGTAATTACATTACATTTTATATGATTCCATTTTCTCTCCATTCTTAGCATTGTTATACTTTTTAAAAAAGTCAATTGCCTACTAGAATTTGCAATATATATATTAAGTCCACTTTCAAGTAACACTATATTACTCCAAGTATTTTATAGTAGCAAAGTAATCCTGAATCTTTCCTCCCATCCCTTGCATCATTGCACTCATCCACTTCACTTATATAAGCTTGCAAGACTTAGCTATGCATAATGAATATATTGTTGCTATTATTATGTGGAACACACTGTTGTCTGTTAGATCAATAAGTTTTTATTTTCATTTAGTTTTTCTTCAGTACTCTTCCTTAGTTTATGTAGATCTGAGTTTCTGACATATTATTTCCTTTCTCTTCAAAGAAATTGTAACTTTTCTTGCAAGGCAGATCTGCAGGCAACAAACTCCCTACATTTTTGTCTGAGAAGAATATTTTTACTTCACTTTTGAAGGATAATTTTGCAGGGTATAAATGATAGGTTGGTGGGATTTTTCTCTCAACACTAAATATTTCACTCTACTTTCTTGTTGTTTGCATAGTTTCTGTGGAGAACTTGAATATAATATAATTTTTTTTTTCCTCACAAGTGTTTCCCCCACCCCTGACTTCTTTCAGGATTTTTCTTTAACATTCAGTTCAGTTCAGTCACTCAGTTGTGTCCCACTCTTTGTGATCCCATGAACCACAGCACACCAGGCCTCCCTGTCCATCACCAACTACCAGAGTTCACCCAAACCCATGTCCATTGAGTCAGTGACGCCATCCAACCATCTCAACCTCTGTTGTCCCCTTCTCCTCCAGCCCTCAATCTTTCCCAGCATCAGGGTCTTTTCCAGTGAGTCAGCTCTTTGCATCAGGTGGCCAAAGTATTGGAGTTTCAGCTTCAACATCAGTCCTTCCAATGAACACCCAGGACTGATCTCCTTTAGGATGGACTGGTTGAATCTCCTTGCAGTCCCAGGGACTCTCAAGAGTCTTCTCCAACACCACAGTTCAAAAGCATCAATTCTTCAGTGCTCAGCTTTTTTTATAGTCCAACTCTCACATCCATACATGACCACCAGAAAAACCATAGCCTTGACTAGGTGGACCTTTGTTGGCAAAGTAATGTCTCTGCCTTTTAATGTGCTATCTAGGTTGGTCATAACTTTCCTTCCAAGGAGTAAGCATGTTTTAATTTCATGGCTGCAATCACCATCTCCAGTGATTTTGGAGTCCAGAAAAATAAAGTCAGCCACTGTTTCCCCATCTATTTGCCATGAAGTGATGAGACTGGATGCCATAATCTTAGTTTTCTGAATGTTGAGCTTTAAGGCAACTTTTCCACTCTCCTCTTTCACTTTCATCAAGAGGCTCTTTAGTTCTTCTTCACTTTCTGCCATTAGGGTGGTGTCATCTACCTATCTAAGGTTATTGATATTTCTCCCGGCAATCTTGATTCCAGCTTGTGCTTCCTCCAGCCCAGCATTTCTCATGATGTACTCTGCATATAAGTTAAATAAGTAGGGTGACAATATACAGCCTTGACATATTCCTTTTCCTATTTGGAACCAGTCTGTTGTTCCATGTCCAGTTCTAACTGTTGCTTCCTGACCTGCATACAGATTTCTCAAGAGGCAGGTCAGGTGGTCTGGTATTCCCATCTCTTTCAGAATTTCCACAGTTTATTGTGATCCACACAAAGGCTTTGGCATAGTCAATAAAGCAGAAATAGATGTTTTTTTGGAACTCTCTTGCTTTTTCGATGATCCAATGGATGTCGGCAATTTGATCTCTGGTTCCTCTGCCTTTTCTAAAACCAGCTTGAACATCTGGAAGTTGACGGTTCACATACTGCTGAAGCCTGGCTTGGAGAATTTTAAGCATTACTTTACTAGTGAGTGAGATGAGTGCAATTGTGCAATAGTTTGAGGATTCTTTGGCATTGCCTTTCTTTGGGATTGGAATGAAAGCTGACCTTTTACATTAATTTGACATTAATTTGTTGCAAGTCCTCAGTCATTATTACTTTAAATATTTCTTCTGTTCCTTTTTCTTACTCCTTTGGGAATTCCCATTATGTGTATGTTTTGTAATTGTATATGTTTTGACAGTTGTACTTGTCTTGGATATTCCAGTGGGTTTGTTTTGTTTTCCTGTCTTTTTTGTCTTTGCTTCTCAGTTTTGGAGGTTTCTACTGACATATCCTAAAGCTTGGATATTCTGTTTTCAGCTGTATGCAGTGCACTGAGCCCATCAAAGGCATTCCTTATTTTGGTTACAGGGTTTTCAACTTCTAGTACTTCTTTTTGCTTCTTTCTTAGAATTTCTATCTCTCTGCATACATTGCCCATCTGTTCTTGCATTCTGTCTATTTTAACCATTATCCTTTTCCTAATAATCATAGTTGTTTTAAATTTTCAGTCTGATAATTCCAACATCCTTGCCATGTGAAAGCCTGGTTCTGATGCTTGCTCTGTTGCTTCAAATTGTGTTGGTGTGTGTTTTTTGTGTGTGTGCATCTTATAAATTTTTTGTTGA